GAGCGAAAATAGCACCCCGACGGTGCAGATAAACGACATCCGCTACCACATTTTCCAGTTGGTGATGCAATACTTGTACAGTGGTGGCTGTACCAGCCTCGACGTCTTAAAAACCGACGTACTGGAGTTAATGGCGGCAGCCAGTTTCTTTCAATTGGAAGGTCTTCTACGCTACACCGAATCGAGGTGTTCGGAAATGATAGACATTGACAATGTGGTTGCCATGTACATTCATGCCAAGGTATCTGCATCTGTCACATTACCCAGCTAATGCCCAAGTACTAATCCTCTCTCAATCTCTGTAGGTTTACAATGCCAACAAACTGTTAGAATTTTGTCAAGGGTTTCTATTGCAGAACATGGTGGCCCTGCTGACCTATGACGATTCTGTCAAGAGACTACTCTTCGCCAAGAAGATTCCCAACCACGATGTCCTGATCGGACTGTTGCAGGCCCTGCAGCAACGCATCAAAGAACGAAAATCAATGGGTCCGTGCAACTTTCGCCAACAACTCAGTTCGCCGTCGGTTTCGGCCACATCAGCCTCGGCAGCAGGCGCAACAAAATGAGCAACTCCAGCCGGTCGAACTTCCTAAAAGACTCTGTTGAACAGTTTTAGTTATTTAGTTTTAGCCTTTTTTTAATCCACTCAAACACATAAAATGTATGTTTGTGTGTATGTATGTGTATCTTGTATATCTGTATTTAATACGAACTTGTGTTCTAGTATTTGTATCTGTACCCACATCTGTATCTGTGTCTGTATGCGCAATTGTAAAAACCAATCATTGTATTATTTCTCCATGCTCTTCCAATAATAGAATCATTCCTTTATTTATTTATACAATTATTTGTACATATCGATTTTGATCGTTAATTTCGAATACTTGTGGCTGCTGTATACATACACATATGTAGGTGGCAATACGTGTGTGTAATTGTTGCCAGGCTGTATTTTTTTTTTTGTGGGGTATTTTAGATTTGTATGTTTTTGCCTGCAAGATGTTAAGTTATATTAGACTTGTACGTAGTTCGTTCAATTGAATGTGTGAATGTATTTAACTCACTTTAATAAATCCTCTTCGGCATCTGGGGGGTCTCTTTGAACATATCGTCCTCTTCCGAGTCGTCACTCCCCTCAACGATGTTAGGCGATGCTGCTAGTTTGCTACTTGCTTTAGCTGTAATTGGGATCTCTTTAGGTCTCTCATCGATGTCTGTCGATGCTGGCAATTCACTGTTGGCTTTGGCGGCAGCCGATATCTCTTCGGGGATATTGTTACCTTCTGGAACGAAACCACGGTCCCCGGCCTTGTAGTGAACCACAACTTCTTTTCCATCAGCGTCGAAGAAGGAATAAGCTCCTGTTATTTCCAGATGTTGGTGTTCAGTGCCTGCATCTTTTACGACTGCTGTCTCTTCGCGAAACGTTCCATCAGCTCCACGATAGTGAAAACTGTACGAGCCATCCATATTGTGACTGGAAGATGATTCCATAATCTCCACAATGTGGGGCTTTTGTGTGGTAGTAGTTTTCTCTGGATCTGCATTGCCAATGGAGGCCGAACAGGCTGCACCTACCAAAGACATAACAACACATAGCTGGACGGGTCCAATATCGACCATAGTCTTTTAATTCTTTAAAGCATTGAATAGAAACATTATTTCAACTTACATATTTCATAGTGACGTCCGGTGTAGAACCGATCCAAGAAGATTTAGATTTGATATTGTTGCTGTTGGTGATTTAAACTCGCATTTTATTCTCCACGAACAAAGGCCGCACCGATCATTACAGTATTTTTTGTTTTTTTTTTTTTTTTTTTTTAAGATGTTTATCTGGTTCGGTTCGATGTGACATACATACCTTGTTACATATGTGTGTTTTTGTTTTGCATTCAAAGCTAAAACACAGTGTTGCCCTAAAAAAGGGTGTTACCCGAGTGCAGTCAACTTTGGCTGTGGACTTGCTGTCTGGTCGAGTTTTCCTGATTTTGTGAAATTTGCTCTTTTACATATTGCAGTCCATAACTACAGAATACAAACTCGTCTGCGGCACCCTATGATATAACGTTTGTCTATGCAAAAGGCTTTAGCCCGATATCAAAGTTTAGTTTTCAACGTAAAAGTGATAGGGGTCAAAATTACGACCTTAATCAGATTAATTCGAAGCCGGTTTGTTCCAAAAACGTGTGCTCTGTTTGCAACTTTTAAAATTTCTTTTAAAAACTTAGACTAACGCTTTCGTACAGGTACACACAAATGAACACCGTGCAATGTCTTCCACAAAATGTCTTGTCTCATGTGTGAGTTAAATACGGCAATTTGGGTAAATTTTTGATAAATTCATTATTATCGTAGCAAAAAATATTATCAGTTAAATCGACAGACAAATATACATACATAAATACGTATGTGTGTATAAAGGCGTGCCTTCGTGCGGCTGCCATGTTCGCGGTGCCGGGTGACAGTGCGCTAAAACAAAGCAAATCATCTCGAGCTGGCATACAGTTGTCAGTGGGAAGATTCCATCGATGGATGACTGACTCCAGGTTAGGAAAATTCATCCACGAATACGCCGCTGTGTACCTTTGTGCAGGCATGGAAAATCTCCTGGAGGAAATACTACTTCAATGTTTTCCCGCCGACTCAAGCCAACAGTTGACAGCTGCCGCTCTGGAACATGCAATATCGCTATCTGGTGATATGTGGGGTCTTCTGCAGCCCTTTGCACACCTCAACGCAGGACGAATAGCTTCGGGAGCGTTGACTATGCCGCGATGGGCAAGTCAGACATCATTGGGCTCGGGCACACATAGGAGTGGTTCCTCGAGTGGGAGCAGTAATGTTGCAATGGAATGTTTGTTAACAACCTGCGTTGGCAGCATTTCGGAACTGAAGGATCTGGCCCAAAGAGCACAGCAGAAATTCCAACAATGTGCCATCTCCAGTGCTGCCCTTTCAGCGCTTTTCTACTTTATGAGATGTTCCCAGCTGGAGCACAGTGAATTCTCCGGACAGCCATTGGCCGGAGCGGCCAATAGCAACAACAGCAATGCGAACAGCACCCAGAACATTCAGGAATTGTGTTACGAGCGAGCGTATGTGGTGTTGCCGCCATTGGTCGAATGGCTTCGAGTCGCCTCCGCACATGCCGAATATAGGAATTCCGCAATGATCGACAAAGACGATATAATGCAAGCGGCAAGACTCCTTCTGCCGGGCGTAGATTGTCCGATGCGGCCAGTGTGCAGCGACGAAGAATTGACCACCAAGAAGTCCCACTTCCCCCATTTGGCAAACGCCGCCGCATTGCCTTCAAACGGAAGTGAAGATTCCACGGATCTGGGCAAGCGTGCCACCATTGCCCTGGCCTTCAAACTAATGTTGACCGGAAGGGCTGAACTTCTAGCCCAGGCCTCGAACTTGTTACCTGTCACGACACGCTATGATACCCTCAATCACGCAGGGATGACAGCATTGATGATCGCAAGTATACGCAATGATGAGGTAGTGGTTCAAGCCCTTCTGGATGCTGGCTGCGAGCCAAACATAGAAGTACCCGCAATTGGAAATCCCAACTACCCTGCCATACACCCCGACACCCAGCACTGGACGGCAGTGACATTTGCAGCGAGTCGAGGCAATTATGCCGCTCTGCGAGTCCTGTTGGAGCGCGGTGGTAAAGTAGAAGGAGGCGCCCGGCAAAGTGAAGACAAACATACGTTGACACCGTTGCAGGTTGCATGTGGATCGGGTAACCTTGAGGTGGTGTCGCTTTTGTTACTACACGGAGCGAACGCCTTTCTCTCCACCCAGCAGAGGGACTCAATGAGTTTTGCTGGGTCTGCCCAACGGGGATGTTATTGTGCAATGTCAGTCGCAGCAGCCCATGGTCAAAGGTCCGTGCTGAGGAAGCTTCTATCGACGCCAATTTCGCAGGGCTCAAAGGATGTACTGTCTTTGGAGGAAATGCTAGCTGAGGGCGATTGTTCCAGTACCAGAGCCGGGCCCGTTGCCGAACGATTGTCCAACAGCGAAATTGCCACGGCCCTGAGCAAAACCCAAATCAAAAGCCTCCAGGAAGCCATGTACCACAGTGCAGAAAACAATCATTTGGGTAGTATTTACGTCGGACCTTGTGGATAAGTATTGTCACAAATAATTCGTAATCTTTAATTTCAGATATCACCATTGAGCTGAGAACACTGGGTGTTCCCTGGACACTGCATTGTTGGATGCACGCTCTGGCAGCGGCGCATGAGTTACGCCTGGAGGGCGTGATAGACCAGCTCCTGCAGGACTTTCTTCAAGTCTGTCCAGACGACTACAGTGTGCAATTTGTAGGCGAGTGCCTGCCCCTGCTCTTCAATATATTTCGTTATAGTAAGAATGAGGGCACAACCCTGCTGCTGGCCGACATTTTTGCCACCTGCTATGGCTGGCAACAGATCAAACCGATTATGGAGCCCCCGTCACAGCCCATCAACAGTTCCCGGATTGACCCGAAATTCGTAAACAATCCCGAATTGAGTGACGTTATCTTCAGGCAAGTCCACAGTCAATGCATTAACATAACCCAACATACCAGACATAAGTGAAACTACAGTATAGTTCTGAAAACAATATTATTAAAAGAAGAAGTTAGTCATAACAATTTTATTTAAAAATCCTGTCGGGTGCATCATAAGACCAACCAATTTTCCCACGTCTCTCCCCAGCTGACAAAATTGTTTTGTATTTTTGTAAAAAATGTCAGCAAGAAATGTCTCGTTTTTGTTAATAACAATATAGAGAGATTCTACAGTGTTTCCTAATCAAAGGACATACTTCCTAACTGAAAGATTATTAGGGAGTCTGCGGTTCTATAAATATACGAATTGCAGAAACTCAATACAATCTTTCTAGTGGATTGTGGACCAAGTCCCGCGTTAACAGAAAGAGGTGCAGGAGAGAAGCCCATGGGAATAAAGAATGAAATGAAATAAATGAGCTTACAACAATTAACTTATGATATAAGTTAAGGAAGCTTATTTTAGAATCGCAAGAGTAAGCAAGAGTAAGGGATCAGTTTGGATTATTCTCCATTTGTTTTTTAATTCATTCTCAGGAGATTTTTTTCTTGCGTCATTTCGGTTTGTTGGAAATATGGTGCTATAGTTTTAAGTGTGTGTGTGTGTGTGTTTGACTCTGTTTTGAATTTCTATATTGCAGGGTCGAGGGCAAGCTGTTCTATGGTCACAAAATTGTGTTGGTCACGGCTTCCCCGCGGTTCCAGAGCATGCTCAGCTCGAAATTGAGCGAAAATAGCACCCCGACGGTGCAGATAAACGACATCCGCTACCACATTTTCCAGTTGGTGATGCAATACTTGTACAGTGGTGGCTGTACCAGCCTCGACGTCTTAAAAACCGACGTACTGGAGTTAATGGCGGCAGCCAGTTTCTTTCAATTGGAAGGTCTTCTACGCTACACCGAATCGAGGTGTTCGGAAATGATAGACATTGACAATGTGGTTGCCATGTACATTCATGCCAAGGTATCTGCATCTGTCACATTACCCAGCTAATGCCCAAGTACTAATCCTCTCTCAATCTCTGTAGGTTTACAATGCCAACAAACTGTTAGAATTTTGTCAAGGGTTTCTATTGCAGAACATGGTGGCCCTGCTGACCTATGACGATTCTGTCAAGAGACTACTCTTCGCCAAGAAGATTCCCAACCACGATGTCCTGATCGGACTGTTGCAGGCCCTGCAGCAACGCATCAAAGAACGAAAATCAATGGGTCCGTGCAACTTTCGCCAACAACTCAGTTCGCCGTCGGTTTCGGCCACATCAGCCTCGGCAGCAGGCGCAACAAAATGAGCAACTCCAGCCGGTCGAACTTCCTAAAAGACTCTGTTGAACAGTTTTAGTTATTTAGTTTTAGCCTTTTTTTAATCCACTCAAACACATAAAATGTATGTTTGTGTGTATGTATGTGTATCTTGTATATCTGTATTTAATACGAACTTGTGTTCTAGTATTTGTATCTGTACCCACATCTGTATCTGTGTCTGTATGCGCAATTGTAAAAACCAATCATTGTATTATTTCTCCATGCTCTTCCAATAATAGAATCATTCCTTTATTTATTTATACAATTATTTGTACATATCGATTTTGATCGTTAATTTCGAATACTTGTGGCTGCTGTATACATACACATATGTAGGTGGCAATACGTGTGTGTAATTGTTGCCAGGCTGTATTTTTTTTTTTGTGGGGTATTTTAGATTTGTATGTTTTTGCCTGCAAGATGTTAAGTTATATTAGACTTGTACGTAGTTCGTTCAATTGAATGTGTGAATGTATTTAACTCACTTTAATAAATCCTCTTCGGCATCTGGGGGGTCTCTTTGAACATATCGTCCTCTTCCGAGTCGTCACTCCCCTCAACGATGTTAGGCGATGCTGCTAGTTTGCTACTTGCTTTAGCTGTAATTGGGATCTCTTTAGGTCTCTCATCGATGTCTGTCGATGCTGGCAATTCACTGTTGGCTTTGGCGGCAGCCGATATCTCTTCGGGGATATTGTTACCTTCTGGAACGAAACCACGGTCCCCGGCCTTGTAGTGAACCACAACTTCTTTTCCATCAGCGTCGAAGAAGGAATAAGCTCCTGTTATTTCCAGATGTTGGTGTTCAGTGCCTGCATCTTTTACGACTGCTGTCTCTTCGCGAAACGTTCCATCAGCTCCACGATAGTGAAAACTGTACGAGCCATCCATATTGTGACTGGAAGATGATTCCATAATCTCCACAATGTGGGGCTTTTGTGTGGTAGTAGTTTTCTCTGGATCTGCATTGCCAATGGAGGCCGAACAGGCTGCACCTACCAAAGACATAACAACACATAGCTGGACGGGTCCAATATCGACCATAGTCTTTTAATTCTTTAAAGCATTGAATAGAAACATTATTTCAACTTACATATTTCATAGTGACGTCCGGTGTAGAACCGATCCAAGAAGATTTAGATTTGATATTGTTGCTGTTGGTGATTTAAACTCGCATTTTATTCTCCACGAACAAAGGCCGCACCGATCATTACAGTATTTTTTGTTTTTTTTTTTTTTTTTTTAAGATGTTTATCTGGTTCGGTTCGATGTGACATACATACCTTGTTACATATGTGTGTTTTTGTTTTGCATTCAAAGCTAAAACACAGTGTTGCCCTAAAAAAGGGTGTTACCCGAGTGCAGTCAACTTTGGCTGTGGACTTGCTGTCTGGTCGAGTTTTCCTGATTTTGTGAAATTTGCTCTTTTACATATTGCAGTCCATAACTACAGAATACAAACTCGTCTGCGGCACCCTATGATATAACGTTTGTCTATGCAAAAGGCTTTAGCCCGATATCAAAGTTTAGTTTTCAACGTAAAAGTGATAGGGGTCAAAATTACGACCTTAATCAGATTAATTCGAAGCCGGTTTGTTCCAAAAACGTGTGCTCTGTTTGCAACTTTTAAAATTTCTTTTAAAAACTTAGACTAACGCTTTCGTACAGGTACACACAAATGAACACCGTGCAATGTCTTCCACAAAATGTCTTGTCTCATGTGTGAGTTAAATACGGCAATTTGGGTAAATTTTTGATAAATTCATTATTATCGTAGCAAAAAATATTATCAGTTAAATCGACAGACAAATATACATACATAAATACGTATGTGTGTACAGTCCGTCAGGTATGTCTTCTCAAACGAAAATAACTGTCAGTTGTCTTAGACAATAGGATATGGTTTTAATGGTTCCCGAAGGTCTACTTCCTTAAGTGCCAAGGTAGTTTGTTACAAAATGACTTAACCTGTCAGGTGGGCAAGAGAAGATAGATAGAACCACCATTTTGAACAGGACAGGCATCGTTGACAGAATGTACTGTCGTGTTTTTCAACCAGTCTCAATAACACATAGCCTTTTATCCGTTCAAAAAACCAAACCAAAATCTTTAGTTGACGAACTGTATACTTGTCCCATAGCAGATGCTTTGGGTCACGATTGTTTTGTTTGTTTAATCGTCCTAATAAAAATCCAGTTTGGCTAATTTGCATTGCATGGTAATGAGGCAATTGACACCCTGCACTCTTGCACCATGCCTCCAGCCGTGCTAATAATTTCCTTTCTTGTGTTTGGTTTGGTTGGCTGAGTGTATAAAAATACATTCCATTCTGGTCATTCGTTCTTCTTCTTCTTCTTCATTGGAATAACATCCAGAATACTTGGGCACGAGATACATCCGAACACGTATGTAAGTATGTATAGGAATGTACACATGCATGTGCACTAGTTGTTTGGTATGTTTATGTTTGCGTTTATTTTTGGAAGATTGTTTCATTCATTCATTTCGGTCATTTGTGTTTGTGTATGTGGCGTGTGGCCTAATGTTAATTTTCTCCAGACCCAAGAATACATAGGTATATACATATACATACTATGTATTTATGTAGTTTTATGAGAACAACAACGTATGTATGTTGCTAACGCATACAGAACAATGGCCTATTCATGGTCCTTTAATTACGACTGGAATAAAGATCGGTGATTGTGGGATCTAACAAATCGTAGGTATTACTCATGATGATCTATCGGGCACATGCATGTAGTGTGGTAGTGAAAACCGTCTCGCAGCTTTACTTGATTATATGAACGTACCTAGGTATATACACATATTGATATATATTTCCCGTTGATTTGTATTTATATATACAAACATATATGTGTACATGTTTATATATTTGCCTTGTGTTTAGCCGAAATCGAGGGCGTTGGCTATTATTGAAAATTCCATGATTTCTTCGCTGTTTTCGAGTCTGTATCCAAAAGACCGACACTTAAAAAATTGTGTTGAGTATGAAACATTGCAAGATTATAAGTTTGCTATTATTGAAGTTAGTGAAATTGAGTTTTTTTTTTGTAAATCATTTTAACTTTTAACAAACACAAAGGTTTTTTCTCCTCTAGATTCCAATGAAATTCTGTCCAAATCTCGACAATCTAACGATTTACGGAGATGAACCTTTATGCATATGTATATGTATGTGTTTGAATATTATCGATAAGTAATTGGATTTCCATAAACATATAATAATAGAACAATTACTTTTTGAAGAAAGCGAGAAAAAAAAAACAAAAGAAATAAAATCATTTAGGAAATAAAACAGACTCTCTCTTTAGAATGCCGCAGCATCACCCAACAATAATAACAAAAACAACAACAATAATAATAATGAATAGAAATACGTTCGTAATGCCAATAGCTGGCAGAAGGCCAATAATATCGGGGCATTCGTACATGATTTTATGAACGTATGTATGTATGAGTGCGTGTGTGTGCTTGTGTATGTGGGAGAATGCTCATTCGTGTATGCCAAACATAGCAACAATAAATTGCAGAAAAGTACCAACTGAGGCAACGGAACCGTTATCATGGGATTATTAATTTCTAGCACCGGGAAATGGAATCAATAAAAACTGTTTACAAAATTCAACACTTTTCGAGCGATCATGCATACAAACAAACATACATGTGTAAACAGCGAGCGCTCCTGTTCTCCGAAGTCAATGCATGCCACAAGTTCACTTATTTCTCTTCGGTGTGTCCAGCGTTGAGATCATTCGTAGTCTATGCGCCTTTTTCCCTTTCCTGTCGTCTCAAATATTAGCGCCAGTAAGCGGAAAAAGACAAATCAACTCGAATTCTGCTGGCCATCTGTTACCCCAAAATGTGTTAATAGTTCAAAAGGTTAATCCACACAGGCACATGCATACTTCAGCTACTCCCTTGCAGACACAGCAACCAGTTCCATCTATGAATGCTTTCAATACCAAATACACTTGACGACCGTACTGTTAGCCATATGGAAGTTCTTTCTTCGAGCTGTTTAGACATTCGAATAAGCAAAAAACATTTCCTAGATATTTAATAGCTCAATAGCATCAAAGGCACAAGCCAATAATGTAGCGCATATGTGTGCGTGCTTCAAAGTTTCAACAATTTAATCAAATCAAACATTCGACAGATTTATAGAATGTTCAGTTCAATTTATGGCCATGACGTGTTTTATTTAAAAAGAAAAAAGATTTTGTTTATACGTATTTAATATTGCATATCCCAAAACGTATTTCTTTTAATAATATTCATTTCTACAATGCCGACCAATTATTTATATATGTCTAATTTTAATTCTTCAGAAGGGAGAACGTACACTGGCCACGTGTCCAATTTTCGAATCCGTCAAAAAAAGACTGTTTAAAAATCTCCAGCTGATGCTCTAATGTCTCAAATAAATACTTGAGGATACAAAAGAAAAATGGAATGTAGGGGTATTTTGGGGGTGCTTCAAATTTTTGTTGTTAATAGGTGATGTACTTTATAGTATTTTCCCCTAATCAAACATTCCCTTGTCTTGTCGACAAGGAAACACCACTATAACTATATAGAAAAGCCATGTCTGGACTCAAGTTAGACCTCGATTGTCAACATGTGCTTTTCTACTAATGTCGTAGCACTGGATAATGTTACTGGCCAACGTTGGCTCTTGTAGACAATCTTTTATTGTTACGTTACTGGAACATGTATTAATGGATAGCCCAAACAAACATAGGCCTCCATTCCAAATAACAGACCAATGTCTTGCAATATATTCAAAAAAAAGAGTAATGAACAGTTATATGTCCAGCCACGAATTTTGGTGCAATTTCTAAAAAGACATATTTCCCTGTCTGATTTGTGGATGCAGATAGGATTGTGTGCAAAGTGCCTAGGCATGGACCTAACGAGGAGGTTGTTTGTTCATACAGTTCTAAGTAAACCATTTGTGTTGTTCCGATATTTTGCAGTTTGCTAGCTGCTCTGTCGGATTCGTTCGAATAGATCTGAGTGGCGGTGTTGGAAACGATTGTGCGGAAACATAAACTTTTTTATTAGCCCATACACATTTCACCAGTTGTATGTATGTGCGAGCGTTTTTGTGAGTTTTTCTGGATAGGTAGGTGGTGCGTCAAACGCAAGGATCAGTTAACAGACTGGAAAGACCAGACCAGACATGTACATCAATATCATATGGAATAGAGTTTAAAGAAAAACATTTTTCTTCGATTTTTCTTGCTCAGTTACACCATACACACATAAGTGTGTGTGTCAATGTGCTTCGCTGACACGGAGTTCCCTTCCTTACAAATGCTATAACGTACAAAAACAATATTCAATGAAACATTTATTTAATTAACAGGCCCATTTGTCTTTTACAAAGGCATGTGCCTTTGAAGGTGCAAGTGCAAAGTGGGCATGAATAATGCACCAGATTGCCACAAAGACAGCGACAATTTGCCACCGAAATGTTGGCAATTAATTGTGAGCCAAATTACAAGTAAATTGTGCGTATCGATGGGGACAAGTGCACAAGTGCACGGGCGAAGTGTCCATGTAGCCAGGAACTTTGTGGGGTCGTTTGTCCTAGAAGTTATGGGGCTATGGAACGAAATGTGAATGGATACTTACTCCATGGTGCTCAGTTGGTAATGTGTTTACAGCATTTCACTTACACGTCACAAGTTGTCTCAAAGATTCTTTGTTGTTGTTTTTTTTTTTGAAGTCTCACAAATGAATTTTGGCATGGGAACTTTGTTTGATTCAGCCGTTTGTTTTTTGTGTGTTTTTTTTAATAGACCGATCTCCAAAAATATTTGCTCGAGTGCTCGAGTGCGTGTAGATATGTAGCATTTCGATATATTCGTACGTAGATTCACTGAACACACATCCAAATGTCTGTTCGTATGTACACAATTCTTCAATTCTGTAAAGTGTTTTCGAAGCAACGGGAACGCGAGGAGCCAAAGAATTGATGTGCACTGGTAAACGTGTCGCGGCGTACTGCACCCACACTCCAAAATTTATTAAAACCCAAGTTCCCGATCGACGACGTCTTTCGTTCTGTTCTGCAAATCTTTTCTGTTCGTCTTTTTCCAATATTTCAACATTCACAAAATGTTCATTACGAGTGGGAAAGAACAAACATGAGCATTTTTCATTCGTTTTTCCTCTGCCAGAAGAGAAGTAGGAGAAAGAAAATCCAAACAAAATAAACAAAT